AAAGTGGATCTTTCTAGTAGGTATCAAAATCTGATGAAGGGAAATGGCTTTATCTAAGCGACATTCCTTTTTTAGATGTGTTAAATTCCTAAACATGCGGTTTCTTAAAATAAGAAGACCGTTTTTAGTACAATTGTCAAACATAGGAAGAAGTTTGAAAATCTTACAATCGCCACGCCCACCTGATGCGTACTAAATTATCGGAAATAAAGTTGAAGTCACAATTCAACGTGTAAAGTTCGGTCGGTACAGTCTGCGGAGAGTTTTCTTAAAAACAGTAAGTCCCAGTGACATAAAATGGAATTTAAATCAAAATTATATCGAAAAGTTTTGACCGTCAAAGCCGACAAATTATAGCGAATGTTATGCATTTTATGCAACAAGAAGCAAGGGACAACGTACCTCTAACAGACTTAAAACAAGTGCAAAAAAGTGTTGTAAGAGCAACAGGTGTAAGTTGATCCGCCATACAAGCCATTTCGAAGGAAATGAAGTGTATCGAAGATGGTACTGCATCAACATTTAGTACTCCAAATAAAAAAAAAGAAGTCGGCTTTAAAATCTAAGTTGGATGAGTGCGACAAAGGGGTGCTTCGTCGATTTATTATTAATTTTTGTACTACCGAAAAACAAGTTCCAACTTTAACGACGAATACATAGAAAATTTGCCACTGAGTACAACTACAATGGTTTGCGTGAATCATTGAGAAAAGCAATGAGTGATATAGAGTTTCGTTGAGGAAAAACAAAAACTAATAAAAGACTTTTAATGGAAAAACCGGAAATCCAACAGTTGAGACGTAACTTTCTTCGAGATATTAAAAAATACTGAGAAGAGAAGCGTCCTATCATATAAACTAGTGTCTACAGCCCGACCCAGTATTCTGTGCAGACTTGCGCAGTTCATTTGTATTCATTTCTGAATGTGACAATGAGGTTTATAATATCTATTTACTAAATGATGAGTAGTTCCTCGAAAAGCTCTGTTTTTTTTTTAATATTTTTTGTTGCGCATATGTTTGCAATAAAAATGTGTTATACAGAGTGAGATGTCATGTAAATACTGATGACAACTTTATTATTTTAGATGGAACACCAGGTATATTATTTAGTTATTGGATCCAATACAAAATACAAAGAACTTTATCAATATATTGGATTGCGATGCTTTTATTTAACTGTTTTTATTATACAATGTATTAAAGCCACAATCCCTTCTATATTTACTTTTAAATGTATAGCCTTTAAGATACGTACTTACGTACATTCCATTTCACACCTGGTAAAAATATAGGCAGGTTTCATTTATTTGACATAATATCTATTTTAAAAGAATATAGGTAATAGTATATATATGTATCTATATGAGTACTATATACATTATTAAAAACAAGTTGAGATACGAAAATGAACTCACTCTTTTTTATTGAAATTAGGTATAGACATCGAGCAAAAAGACAAAAGAGGGAATGTAATGAATGAATTGAAGTTTTTTTAACAATTGTGTCGCATTTTAGACTATTATTGTTAATAATTAATTAAAACTTTCTCGTCTAAGACACATTCTGAAAAATGTTATATAGCTACTGTTAATAAGTGTGAAAATTTAAATTTGGCGCATTCGCATTTCCGAATATGTCCGCAATCAGAGGCCACTTTTTTGGTCTCCTTTTCATAAGGATTAGATTCCCTCTTTTGTCTTTTTGCTCGATGGGTATAGAACCTTTTAAAGTCGTAAGGAGACACGCGTGATCTATTCATTAACCACCCTGTATCCTAAAATAAGTTAATTAAAACTATAACATGCAATATATCGAAGTTCTGGGAATTTTGTGCATAATCCAAAAAATTTATAATATACCTAACTAATGTTTCGTTTAAAATAAGAAAGTTGGTATAATAGTAATTGATATATAACATCAGTAAACATACTGTATATAAAATAACAAATTTTTATTGGAAAAAATGCGCAAAAAGTATTTTTTAAAAATATTTTTAAAAATTTTTAATTTTGATTTGCTATTATTACTATAAATTTTAGAGTTATTCTTATGCAACCAACAATACACATAAACCTCATTGTCACATTCAGATGTGGATACAAATGAACCGCGCAAGTCTGCACAGAATAGTGGGTCATGCTCTAGACACTAGGTCATATACATGGACGAAACCTACATACATTCTTCCCATACTCCGAAAGTAGCCATATCAAAAGATGGAGAGACAATTCCAATGAGGGATTACATACTCCGATTTCAAAAGGCCAGAGCCTGACAATAGTGCATGCAGGTGGTGAAAACGGTTTTGTGAAAATGCTTATTTGAAATTTAAATCAAACACAAAAACAGGTGACTCTCACAGTGAAATGAATTACGAAAATTATAAAAAAATGGCTTCAAGAAATGCTTATTTCCAATCTTTCTCCACGTAGTGTACTGTTTGTTGATAATGCTTCTTATCACAACGTGCAAGTTGAAAAGTGTCCTAATATGAGTTCAACGAAAAATGTAATCAAAGAGTGGCCAAGACAACGCAATCTGCCTTTTTCAGAAGATATGTTAAAAGTATATCTACAGCATTGTACAAATCCATAAACCCAGATTTAAGATGTATGAAATTGACAGAATACTGAGTAATAGTGGTCATTTAGTATTACGGCTGCCCCTGTATCATCCAGATCCCAACCCCATAGAATTAATATGGACAACTCTTAAAAAATACGTTGCGACAGAGTTAGAAATGAGGAGGTCCTTAGACGGCTGAACCAAACAACACAACTGGTCAATATAATAAAGAAACGCAAGCTGGAATACTTCGGTCATATTATGAGACACCCTGAAAAATATGATCTTTTACATCTGATCATTCAGGGAAAGATCCAAGGTAATCGTGGTCCTGGTAGAAGAAGAACATCATGGCTGAAAAATCTAAGGCAATGGTATGGAAAATCAACTACATCGTTATTTAGAGCTGCTGTCAATAAAGTCACGATAGCGAATATGGTAGCCAACATGATATCCAACGATCGATAACGGTCATGGAACTAGAAGAAGAAGAAGGATCGTTTTTGCGATGAATTTTTTCATATATTTTCAAATGAAGAGTGGAAAAGACTGTGTGAACACGCTAAAAGTTTTGAACAATTTTTCAGGGAAAAAGAACCTGTTTTAGATTTAGTTTTTGATAAAATAATAATTAATCTTGACGAAGACAGTAGTAGTGATTTCAGTGATGATAATTCTGAGTCTGATAGTGATTTTTCAGAAGTTGAGCCTCTGTAAGCATTTTACTGGGCTTTGAAGATTAACATAGACAAGACGAAGGTAGTGGTGGTTAGTAGAACACGAAATATGCAATTAAATATAAGAGTAAACAATAAGTACATCCAAAAGGTTCCCAATTTCAGATATCTCGGTAGTTGGATAACTGAAGATCTAGATCCAGACATAGAGATACGTAGAAGGATTGAGCAAGCCAGAACAGCATTTACTAATATGAGAACCTTGCTAAGCAACAGCAACCTCAACTTAATGCTTCGATATCGCTTTGTAAAATGTTACATTTAGGTACTCCATACAGCTATATGGTGTAGAAACATGGACCATAAAGGCCAATGTGATGAACCGATTGGAGGCATTTGAAATGTGGGTATTTAGAAGACTACTTACTTAAAATTCCCTGAACAGATCACACAACAAATGTCGAAGTATTACATCGAATGGACAGAGAACGAGAATTGCTGCCAATAATAAAAAGAAGAAAAGCTGCTTATCTGGGTCATATATTTCGAAATTCCAAGTACCAGTTCTTAAAGCTTATTATGGAAGGAAAGATAGAAGTAAAACGAGGCATCGGAAGAAAGAAACCTCGATGCCCATGCCATGCATCTTTAGAGTCACACAAGATCGAGAGGAGTACGCCAGAATTGTCGTTAACATCGACTAATTGAATAGGGCACCATAAGAAGAAGTTGGGATCTAGATTTATCGCAATTCCAAAAAAGAAAAAAATTAAAAAACATGCTTAAAATGTTGCACAGTAGAATAAAAAAAATTACAAAGAAAATCTTGAGTCTTGAGATTTCAGATGCAATTTAAAAATGAATTCAGGGCTAGAGAAGCACTGTTTAAGCAAGCAAAACGATTGTTTAAACCAATTACACAATGTTAAATCTAAAACGTAATCGAAAGCAACTGAAAATGTTTATAAAAGAAAATACTGACCACATACATGACGAAGTTTTCGTTTGGATTTAAATTCCTGGGATAACATTCCCTTAAAATTTCTTTGACAATATTTCTATCCATACGGCTCACCATTGTAAATATATTTTAACTGCTGTTGATCTCCTGGCTTGTTTGTTTGATCAATAAAATGATAACCACAAATAAATACGTAAATATTATAAATGGCTCTAAAATGAATGTTTTTTGACAAATAGGTAATATTATGTCATTATTAAAATAAGTCAACATTTGTAATAGTCATGATAATTTACTGTACCATCTAATAACTTTTTGAAATATAACATATTGAGTATCACCCGTATCAAAAATTTGTGGTTCTGCCATCTACAAAGAAAAACTTACACTACCGACTTTTTTAGTAAAATATTATACTATAATCTATAATGGCTTTGTTAAAATCTATTTTATTTTAATTTCAAGAATTTCTAATCGTCAATTTGGTTATAACGTTGATTGAATAACCCATTGCATTATTCAATCAACGTATAAATAAGTGTGTAAATAAGTATTGAATACATAAATATGTATCGATACAGAATACTCTCAAAATTAACAATAGTATTCAGTAACAGATGTCAGGCTAGGCAGCTTTCAAATTCTTTAATGTCAGAAGTCGACTGCAGATGTCGGATACTGACACTCCGCAATCAAAAGGAAATAGAAAAGCTCATCTGACTGAACTGAAAACAGAACAAAACAAAAACAAGAATCAAGAACGACCAGTTGGAGAGTGAGCGTTTGTAGTATACAATATATCTCGTAGTGAATAGTTGACTCGTGAATTAGTTTTTTTCGTAGAGGATAATGTGATTGATTATGAATTGTTTTGTTCAGTACAATGAGGACGAAATTAGTGATTTTTCTGTGTTTGGTATTGTTTGTGACAAGTGTATACAATGAGGATATACCAGTAAATTCTTTATTAGGTGAGTTGTTGATACCTACATATGTGTATTGTTTGATATGAGATTTGTTTATATTGTGTTGGCCTATTTTATCGAATGTATTGTTTGTTATCTGAATAACAGTTAGCTTGAATAGTCTTAAACTATAAGACAAAAAATAAAAATGTTAAAAATTCTTGTAGTGTTTTTGTTTTAAAGATTTTTTGTGCATTAGAAATAAAACACACATTCTAACCTTTCAACTTTTTAAATTTATGGATCTAACTAGTTATTGTAATCAAAATACAAGAACTATTTTGCTGAATGTTACTAGATTATACTTGAACAAGGAATCTGGATTTCAGACTGGAATATTAAACATATTTTATTCTTAAAGTAGGTATTTCTGAAATGCTTGTTTGTAAGGAGTCCCTGGCTTACTTAGGCTGCTGGTGACTCTTACCATGATTCATCTCATCTGCTATTTACTGTTCTGAGAAACAACTACCTAACCTGTTTGGTAGTGTGTGATTTATAGGCTTATGCAGGAGTGATCAACTTTTAACACCAACTGGTTTGTCACCTTTTATGTTAAAAATATGTATATTATATTAATCCTTTTGTGATATAGTTAACAAACATGCCAATAATTTGTACTTTATTTGATTGGTTTGGTGATTTTGGAATTTTTAAAAATGAATTTCAAGGCAAGACATTTGTGATGTCAATCTTAAAAGGTGTCAGGTAAACAGAAGAATGAGTTTTATAACAATTTAGGAATAATTTAGAGGAAGTTTTATTGATAAAGTTTTATTTATACCTTCAGTAAAAGAGCTAGATATACTTTCAAGAGGCATTTGCCAGGGTCTGTCTGGCTACAATCCAAGAATATTAATTAATTACTATTTAACTGGGAATAAGCCACAATTAAAGATAAAAAATATGTTTATTGACGTTTTAATTTCCACTTCGGAAATCGTTCTCAAAATACAAACACTAAATTAAACAAATTTTGTTTTTTGTTACATAGTGAAAAATTCTTCTAATAATTTAATTTTATCTGACTCATTTATATTGACAATTCAGACATACATTATGCATTTTAAAGTAGACGATTTTAAAATGATATTGCCAATATTGTTGAGTTGCGCTCCTGGGACAACTTTACTTATAAGATAATTCATTCGATTACATGAAATCATCTTTAACTTGAGAATATTCGTCAGATAAAAGTCATAGCATGTAATTCGTTTTTAAAAAGACAAACACACAAACACATGACATGATGACAGTAAAATTCTCCTGTTAGTGATTCCATAATAAATTATGAGTGAAAAACCAGGAAAAAAAACCTCATAATACTATCCTGACATGGTAAGTATTTGTTCGTGCATTTAGTTTACCTTCAATAAACACCAAAATCTGATTTTATGTTTCGTTATTTAAAAAACATAAATGATGTATCCTCTATATGTTACTGACTTACTAATACTGGTATTTTCTTATTAATGACTTCCTCTTTCAATATTGGTAACCAGATCCTACTACATTTTGCCGAGGAATTTGCTACACAATTGGCCTCATTTAGCTGCTTCTTTGATTTTCTTTTTTTACCATCGGTTTCTTTTAGGACGACATTTGAATTATTCCATTGAATCCTATGTTCATTATCCCATGCGTGTTTACATATTTGAGATCTATCAAATTCTCTATTTTTAATATAAGATTGATGTTCACTTATTCTAACATTTAATGGCCTTGATGTTTCACCTAAATAAAACTGATCGCATTTTATTTTTTTTAATTTTTTTATCTTTAATTGTGGCTTATTCCCAGTTAAATAGTAATTATTTTAAAATGCCACAAGAAAATAGCTTCAGAACAATATTAAGAATATTAATTGATGTGATTTGATTTGATCATAGACTCAAATACACATAGAAGAAGAAATTAGCAAAAAGATACAGATAAAAAGAGGTGTAAAGATGGGAGGTGTGCTTTGAATTTTTATAATATAAGAGAATCAATCTTTGATGAAGCCTTGAAATCAAAAAAAGAAGTAATCATAATCCATGACAATGTGATAAAAATATGATTCACTGATAATATGGTCACCCTTACATTTACAGCAGAAGAAATCAACATATTAGTCAAAAATATAAATAATTTCTGTGAGAATTATGATCTTAAACATTAAATGAATTAAGTATTGTGGGACTTAATTACAAAAAAGCAAAATATAAGTACAAACCAGAAAACTATATAAATATTTAAGGACTGGAAAAACATTAAAATAATAAAAAAGTGAAGACCAGTATTGAATCGGGAGGAAATGTTCTCATTACAATCAGCAAGTTTATTTGGCAGATAAGAACTAGAATATGTAGATGTGATGAGTTCTCAACATTGTTATATGGAATGGACAGTTGGACATTGAAACAATAACATATAAATAGGTTACAGACATATGTTGTGGCTATTATGAATGCAGAGGCAAACCAATATTGAGGCAATGAGAGAAATGGGAAGAAAGACAAATTTGATGGCAAAGGAGAAATATCAATTAGGAGGAAGAAATTTTGTAAGGTTTGAGAAGTAAGGAGAGACCCTATAGAGCAAGTGGCGAAATTTAATTGCAGATTTGTTGATCATACCATGCAATAAAATTACAGGAAAAGGAATAAATAAATATGACATTAGCAATTAGTTTATGTTTCTGGCATTTCGGTTTGTGTTTTTAGATTGTACTTTTTTGAATGACCATATAATAGAATATCAGTTTTTAAATTAAAGATCAATGAAATGGCATAAAACTACTTTTGAATTCTTCTTCTTCGTTCCTCTTCTTTTTATATAAACATGACTCTATCTGTTTTTCAATGTGCCTCCAGTAAGTTGTCATTCCATCGTCATCTTCCTATTGGGGAACCATCTCTTGCCATCTTTACTACTGTCTTTGTTGTCATTCAGCTTATATGATTGTTTCATTCTACTCTTCTATTTCTTACCCAGTTGTTGATGTTCTCTACCTTGCATCTATGTCTTATATCTGTACTTCTAGAGCTGTCCCATAGTGTCTTACCATCAATTTTTCTAAGTGTTTTCATCTCTGCTGTTTCTAACATTCTTTTTGTCCTCTCTGTGTCAGGTCTTGTTTCTGCCACATATGTCATTATTGGTCTGATGACTGTTTTGTAAATTCTGCCTTTCGTTTCTTTCCCGATATTGTTATTTCTCGATATTGTTTCGTTTAGGCAGCCTGGGGCTCCGTTTGCTCTATTCACTTGATCTTAGACTTGTTTCGAGCTTTCCGTAGCTAGATAATGTGATGCCTAGATATTTAAACTCCATCACTTGATCGATGATCTGACCTTTCAGCTCCAATTTACATCTTAGTAAATTTGCTGTTGTAACCATGCATTTTGTCTTTGTTGGGGAAATTAACATGTTAAATTTACTTTGAATTCATTATGAGCAAAAAATTTTCACTGTATATGTACACAGACTGAGAACAGAAGAGACAGAGGAGGAAGAGATCTAAAGATTTTATTAAGGTCTACAGGAAGTAATACAAAAAATCCTAAGACAAGACAAGAAAAGAATTTCTTTTCAGCATATTTTTCAAACATAGTTTATACATGTGAAATTGTGTACATAGTTGTGTTTATACAATGGAAATCTACAACTAGACCCCGACAAAATAGTTAGAATCTGGGAAACTTATGTGGAACAACTGTTTAATGATGACCCTCCTAGTGGGTGTACACTGAGCAATGATGATACTGGCCCTTCTATTCTAAAATCAGAAGTGGAGAATGCTATAAAGGGTCTTAAAAATAACAAAAGACCAGGCAGCAATAACATATACGGGGAAGTATTGAAAATGCTGTGTGAAACAAACAATCAATTTCTAGACTCACACGTCAGACTCTTTAACAATATTTATAACAGCGGGGAGTTTCCTGAAGACTGGCTAGAGTCAACTTTTGTTGCCATACCGAAAAAAACCAAAAGCAAAATCTTGTGATCAACATCGGATGATAAGTCTAATTAACCACATTTCACAGGCATACACCAAGGTTATTTACAACAGAATAAGCAAAAATGCGAGGATAACATTGGAGATTCGCAGTTTGGGTTTCGGAATTCTCTTGGGACAAAAGAAGCACTTTTTAGTCTACAGGTACTCATCCAGCGCTTCAGAGATATGAACAAAGACATGTACATATGCTTTATAGACTACGCAAAAGCATTCGATAACGTAAAGCACGAAAAGATAATTGAAGTTCTCCATAAGATCGGAGTCGACTACAGAGACATTTCGAACAATAGCGAGTCCTCTATTGGGGTCAAACAGCTAAAGTGGAAAGTAGGATCTACATTGACCAATAAAATTGAGATCAAGAAAGGGGTACGACAGGGCTGTATCTTGTCTCCAATTCTCTTTAATATATACTCAGAAGAAGTATTTAAGATAGAGCTGGAGGAAAGCACATAAGGCATAAAGATAAATGGAGAAATAATTAATAACATAAGGTATGCTGATGACACTGTGATTCTAGCAAGTAGCATGGAGGAACTGAGTTGCCTAATGAGTAAGATACAAAAAACAAGTGCACAATACGGACTCCGACTAAATATCACAAAAACCAAATTGATGTTAGTAAGCAAATCCCAACAACCATCACAGTAACTGATATTAGACAATGAAAGAATTGAACATGTGGATTCGTACATCTATTTGGGAACAACAGTTAACTCAAATTGGGATCAAGCGAAGGAAATACGTATAAGAGTAGAAAAGGCAAGAGCATCGTTCACTAGCATCAAGCAAATTTTTACCTCTAAAAGCCTCACCCTATCTCTCAAAATTCGACTTCTGAAATGTTATGTATTTCCGGTTTTGTTATATGGAATGGAGGCGTGGACAATGACCGCAACATTGATGAAAAAAGTAGAGGCCTTCGAAATGTGGGCTTACCGACGTATATTACGTATATCCTGGACTGAGCACGTGACCAACGAAGAGGTACTACGCCGCA